AATGTAAATTAAAAGAATCGTACAAAATGTTTAAATCCAAAGACTGATGAGATTATGATGCTGATACAGTGGGAAAACAAAAGTCAGGTGTGAGGAAGTTTTAAGGTAAAGACATATTAAGCCACTGGTAGAGTTAATCCTCTGGCATGACTCCAATGTTTAAAGCTGCTCCCCAAAGTCCTCAGCTTGTTCCAGGCCTCATGAAACCTCAAGCTGAACTGACACCAGGCCCCCAAGGCAAGGCAGTCTGACCCTGGATGCAGGGATGCAGGTCAGCGATTTCTTCTCTGGAGAAATGGTGGTGTCTCCACCCATTTCTAAGCATCAGGTGATATGAGTTAGTGAGGAGGGATGGTGGGTGTATGGATGAAGTTAATTGTGTGTGCCTCCAGCGTGTCCCTCCAGCTGGTCTTGGTGTATGAGCCAGCTGTAGCCCCCTGATGTGCCACTTTATTGTGAATAAACATCTATTCAGAGGCCAAGCACTCCAAAACTGCTGCTTCTCTGGCGGTGACACAATCCTGAACACAGCATCGGTTGTTTGTCTAGCAGAGTCAGCCTTTTTTTTTTTTTTTTTTTTGCAGATTTCCCCTGTAGCTGTGTTGTATTTCATAGCCTCTGCGGTTTGTCAGGAAACATTAGTAGGCATGCAGGAACTCATCTGCACACAGAGCTGCGACGATGAACCAAGGATGTGTCAGCTATAAATAACTCAAACTAGACCTCTGTGGCTATAAGGCACCGGGGCAGACAGGAAAAGAAAGGCAGAGAAACTGAGAGATGTAAAAGAGAGGGAGGAAACAAGGGAACTGTGAGGCACAGATAGAGAAGAGGGCAAAACTTTACAGTACACCATAATGCTTGTTTAACTTCTCACTATGATGACACAACCTTTACTGTCAATTGTAGCCCCTGTAGTCTTTAGATAATGAGACAGAGTGCCAGACAGATACATAATGCTGCAGGCTTTCATTAGGATAAGGACAATGACAAAGAGAACTAACAGACCCTCAAGTAAATCAAAGATTATGGCGCAGTTATAGCTGTAATAGGAATTGATAGCAATAAACTAAAGGAGTGTCTGTTGTAGCGCAATAGCCCATAGAAATACAGTTTTATGACCAAAGCATGACAATGCAGTCATTTCACAGTACAATGTTTACATTTAATGTCCAAAGGAATACATTTCTGTTTTCTTTTAATAGAAGAAAGTTGTTCTGAGGAGAAGATCTATCATTTAAAATGTAATCGATCAATGAAAACATGTTTTTTTTATATAGGGAAAAATCATAACAAAACTTATCTCACAACACTTTACATTAAGAGCATGTGTTTGAATGACCCAACATGAACATGAAACAGTGTTACTATATGCCTCTAAGATGAAAAAAAAGAAAAAAAGAATAAAGTTCTTTACGACATGTGTGAAGTCAGAGTCCTCAGGGGATGAAGATATTCAAGGTCACAAGATTGTTACATCCAGGTACACTTAATTTTGTCTTTTGTTATTGTCTCTTTTCACTTAGTTTATTTTCTTTAAAGCTTTTAAAAAACATATTTAAGTTATAAGAAATCTCACTCATAAGTGTGTTTGTGCAAATACATGCTCACACGTGTCTGTCTGTATTGAGTGAAGTGAGGGTTGAGGCCTCCTGAAAGCCAAACTTTGACAGCCGTTTTGCTGGTGGGGGGGGGGGGGGGTCTCTTAATACGACAAAAGAGGGAATCGCAATGAAGAGAGCCAGTGTGAGCAACACAGGAAAATAGAGGGAGAGAGAGAGAGAGCAGAGGGGGGAGGGAGGAAGGTATCAGACTCAGGGATAAGGCAGCTGGGACAGGCTGCTTGGCTGGAAGCGGATCTCATTGTGCACTTGTCTTTCCCAAGTCACTCAGAAACACTGCAGAAGGAGGAGAGAGCCTCTCACACCACTGTTGCTCACAGACAAACTGCTGTCAAGCTTCTGAGGGCATCCGACTCTTTTTTGTCCTACATTAAATGTACTCACCACTGACAGAAAGAGGACTTGTTGGGACTCTGGCTTTACAACTGTATCTGGATTTTTAAATCTGCTATGGCGTTGGTGTAGGCATGGTGGTCTACTTTAGGAAAAGCATCCACTCTCTGCTGTCTGTCTTCAAAAAGAAGGGTGAGTGCTGAGTCACATGATGACTGTAGTAGCTTTGACTTTAAGCTGCTGACAGAAATGATCATAGCTTTATACCTCAGTAATACTCTAACTCAGGTCTGAGTGAGATTTGTGGTGTTAAGGTGACATTTTTCTTTGCATGTTGTACCCTAAAAAGTTTGTGATTCACAGTGGCGGTAACGAGGTGGTGGATTTATGAAAAACAAAATTGTTAAGTTCAAAGATGTGATGATGATTGCAGACTCAATGTGCTCGTCATTGTTTCTCTCTTTCTCTCACGCACACAAACAAGCACACTGGCACGCAAGAATTAGAATTAAGGCAATATGGGGGTCTTCTCTAATGAGATAAAGAGCTTAACAGACTTTTTTTTTTTTCAGCGATCATCTAACTTGACCACAGTCATGAACCTCCTGCAGGGGAATGGTCCTCCTGCATTTAGGAATGGTTTCCCAGTTAATCACAGTAAAAGTTTGAGATATGCACTTCTGCTGTAGCAATTTTTGTATTGAAATTGGTCTCTTATTCCCAAGATTGCATCAGACAGTCCCAGGTTCCCAATGACCTGAGATTTCCCACAGCTGCACACAGGGGAGGGCATTGTGTCTGGAATGCCTCACCTGTGTGAATGCAGGAGGATAGGGGTAGGAGTGTCTGTTCTGCTGCTCACACTAACATGTACAGTGTGTGCATTCAGAGTCACACAATGTCACCTAACCAGGGGAAACTGAGAGCCTGAGTGTTGGAAGTGACAAAAGAGAGAAAGTGAACACCTCAAGTGACCTTTGACTAACTTATAACAGACAACACAACTGATATGACTTAGATATCCCTCATATACAAAAGAAAGCAATATTTATAATCACTTTTTTAAACACAACATTACAAAGTACTTACTGGTTTAAAAGAGAAAGGAAAACATTGTGATACTGATAAACGTACATACAAACATGCATTGCATACCAAATATGCATACATCAATATACACAATTAGGCATACACAAGTCACATATGGGGGTCATCATATCAGACAAAAATTAGCACGACTAGAAATAAAAATAGGCAAACAGGAAGAGTTATAAAAAATGTTGGCCTAAAGAAGTGAGTTTTTAAAAGCTGTTTAAAAGAAGCCACTGATTCAGCCGATCTGATGGAGAAGTGAAGGCTGTTCCAGAGTTTGGTAACTGTAAAAGCGCGGTCAGCTCTGGTTTATATTGGGAGCGAGGAACTAAAAGAAGCTGCTGATCAGATGAACGAAGAGGCCAACAACTACAGTAAGGCTGTAACAGCTCAGAAACAGGTGCCAGGCCATGCAGGGCTTTATACGTTATTAACAAGATTACAAAGTTGATTCAGTGAATAACAGGTTTTCAGCGTAGTTAGAATTGGAGTGATTTGTGACCAACAAGTTTGTTTGTTAACAGCCTAGCTGCTGCCTTTTTGCTAACTGAAAAATGGTTTAAGAGGATTGTGTGATACCAGAGAAGAGGGAGTTACAGTATTCTAACCCAGACAAAATGTGTTGTGTGTGGGTAGCATAGATTTTATTTTAGCAATGTATTTTCATATATATTATATATGAAAAAAACACAAGACTGAACAATTTTGGTAATGTAAGCTTTGAAGTTAAGAATTTGGTCAATTAGAATACCAATGGTCCTGGACAGGGGCTTAATGTTACTTGCCAGGGGACCAATATGCTGCCTGACCACTTTTGTGAATCATTCAGGGCCGATCACTAAGACTTCAGTCTTGTCAGAATCGAGGTGGAAGAAAATTGTCAGACATTTATAACAGCTGCTAGACACTGATGAAGGGTGGTAAAGTTATTAAGATTATTCGGCTTGATAGAAATACAGAGTTGCCTGTTGACAGCATAACAATGATAAGAGATACAACAACAAGTTGAGTACATAACACAGGGGTAACATATATAATGAGAACAGAATAGGTCCAAAGATTGAGCCCTGAGGGACTCCACACAAGATATGTTTTCTAGACCTGGTTTTAAATTACATATTTTAGAGCCATTTATTTTCCCCTGCCAATTCAAAAACTAGCTGTAGTTAACTATTACTGAACAAAAGCTGCATCATTGGCTGTGTCAGCATTGGCTATATTGGCTACTGTTCAACAAAAGATTTTTTTATTTTTCAGATCTTAATTTCTGTACAGTCTTTATCCTTTGATACTGACTGAAGCCATGGAAGAGTCTATTCCCACGCAGGAGGTCACCCTTAAGAGGGTCAAGTGGCATCTTTAAATGTGGACAATCCAGATAATCTAATCCTTCATGGAATGGGGAGAAGGAGAGATAGAGTAAGAGATTAACCAGGCAATTTACTAGTCTAATTTACTGTTAAGAGCCTGGTCAGGCTGGGACGTCTGCCCACCCAACTGCTTCACTGAGGAGATTTGAAGAGTGTGCTGCATCACACCAGGTTGAGGTGCAGAGGATTCACTGAAAAGCTGATAAATGATTTGGCCCCTGCACACCTGTTGAGTCTGTTTATCTACGTGTTGAAGTTTATATCTTTAGACACCAAGGACTGTACCTGTGGAAACACTTACCGTACCTGTGGAAAATAAGGTTTAAGCTTTATGGGTAATATATATATATATATATATATATATATATATATAGGTTTATGGTGTATTAAGCAAAAAAGAGTGTTTTTGGTCAAAAGGGAAGATGGTAAAATTGTTGATGAAAGAAATTATCATTTTGACCATTTCATGCTAAATGGCTACATTATCATTCTCTTGAAACGTTCACTGTTAAGCATCATACAGTACAGTAATTTAATTGGTCTTCCTTTCTGTTTTTCCTTATCTCTTCCATCATACCAACAGCTGGCCTGAAAGGTAATGAGGACCAGAAGAGGTTGACCGTCCACTACACAACCTCTCAGCACTACCAGGAGAATGTTTTCATTGAGGGCAGCAGGCCACAGTACCTGGAGGACCTGCACACAGAGGCCCAGGAAGGCCTCAAGATACTACAGCAGGAAGGTAAAGACACATCACTACAAATATAAAAACATGTACCGTGTTTTGTTTTCAAAGATGTCAGTTCATCTAAATACAGTAAGACTTGCCCACAGTTTTAAATGACCAACCCAAGTATATTAGATTATGTTGATATATCTGACTGGTTAATTGCATAGGAGTGCTTTCCTTTTTGAAATGTGTTTGTGAAGGGTAATTTTCTCTATGAAGTTAAAGCTTCTTTATCTATGTTATAATCCCTAAAGACCCTCCCTTTTAGTGATTACTAAGTTTGTATTAAGATTGTTTCTTTTCTTTTCTGTTTGGTTGGTACAGAACACAGAAATGGAGTTAACTTCCCTGACAATGAGAGCATTGCTGTAAGTTCCCCAAAAGCTCTGTGGATAATTTTTCCTTCACGTCCTACACACTAAACATGCCACCTAACTAAATACTATTGTGTGTGTTTGTGCATGTTTGTGTGTGTATCTGCTGCAGTCTACAGATACTCTGCGTCTGGAGCATGATATCAGCTCCAAGGACGGAGGTTTCTCTCTGGAATCAAGATCCACCGCAGGGAGCACTGATACCACAGTAACCTCTGCTGTGTCGACAAGGCCTGTGCTCACCCGCCAAGGTAAACGCCATGCAGGCCTGTCGTTCTGTGCATATTTAGAGAGAGAGGAAGCCTCCATATCTCCTTGGATTTTTTGATTCTTGCTGGAAATAGGAGCTAATCATAGAGCTTGTGTCAGTGCAGCAGTTCAAGCTTTTTTTTTTTTACTTAAATTCCCTGCTTTACAAAGAGTCATACTGGAGTGCTTATTTAGCATGCACATCTCATTCCCAGCTGCATTTATGGTTTGGAATCAAAGGAGAAGGAACTTTACACACATTCACACTCACACGCACACACAGCTGAATCTGTTTTCGGTTACTCAAAAGTTCCAAGCATTTGAAGACAGTACTGCGGCTGCCTCTGCATATCGCAGCTGCAGGGTAGAGAATGACTTGTGTGTGTGTGTGTGTGTGTGTGTGTGTGTGTGTGTGGGTGTGTGGGTGTGTGTGTGTGTGTGTGGGTGTGTGGGTGTGTGTGTGTGTGCATGTGTGCTCAAGGGTTGTCAAATTCATATTCTGAGTCATACCTAAAACATCCATATTTAAAATCCTTTAGTAAAATCAAATTCCCCAATATACTGGACTAGGTTTCAATGAATATGTTAACTGCTTCTGCTATTGGTCAAGGTACTTGTCTTGTGCCCAATCAAGTTTCTACATTGCAACATTAAATCTCCTCAAATTTCACTGTTTCTCTGTTTCACTCAGGCTCTACATTCAAGCCTCTGAACCCAGTAAAACGATTAGATAGGAGCCGGAAAAGAAGCAGGAGGACCACCATCATGGGTATTCCAAACCAGGTCCAGAAAGAACTTGGTATGTCAACACCATCATCCTTGCTAATCCTATAGACATCATGTATCATTGGTGGTAAACTTGTTAGTTAAAGTTATCCGCCCTCTTTCCAGCATTGCACAGAACCTCAACCTTCCAGCAGCTTGTTTCCACCCAAACCCTTGATCAGGATGGAGAGGACAGAAACAGCCAATCAGGTGTGGTTATTATTCCTACGGTTGATGGAGGGACCCCACTCACAAATAAAGAGGGAGCAAGGGTGCATCTTTCAGATGTGTTTGAGGTAAAAGGTTCCTCACAAGGAATAAATTACTTCACAATAGTTTTACATTAAGTGAGGTTGTATTACTAAAGAATGGTCCTCTCTCCACTCCAAAGCAGGATGCATCCAGAGATGAACAGCTGCTGAGGAAGCACCTACGGGCAATGAATCAAGACGAGCAGCCCTTCAACCACCAGGGCTTTGGCTCTTATCACGGTCCCACCTCAAATTTGAGACCCAAGTCCCTTGCAGTACCTGGCATGACCACTTCTTTCACCTTCTCTTCTTCAACAATGCTAAGCTTCCTCCAGGAACCCCAGGTAAGAACGAAATTAGTTACAAGAATAAGGCTTTTAATTTAAAAAGCCTTTTCTGAATCTTCAGTCTTAAGCATCGTTACTGTTACAGTCCAGATGTCTTGAAACTTGGCTGTGAATTCTTATTTTTTTACTTTTTTTTTTTTGCTCTCTCTTTTTAAGGGCCCAGTGATGTCAATTTCTCCTCAGGCCACCTACTTGTCTACAATCATACCTAATGCGGTCTTACCAGCCTCGTTTGACGTCATAGAGATTGACCGCAGCAGCAGCCGGACGCGCGGCAGCGGTGTTAACCACAGCGGTAGCGTCCGCACTGTAAGCAAGAGCAGCCTGGCCTCCGGGGACTCATCGGTCAGCCCTTTGCTGTCCAGAAGATCAGATGGTGATGGTTCCCAAGCTGACGATTTTCACAACAACTCCACACAAATGCCCATATCAGATTCAGGGTCAAACTGGAGCAAGTCCCAATCTTCAAAGACCATTATTTCACACTCCTCTCCTGTATCCTCTAAGGGCAGCACACGGAGCGCTAAGTCACAGAGAGTGGGCCTGAATGGGCAGGACAGCCAGGGAGAGCACTCTGGTGGGGACAATGACCTTGTCAGCCTCCATAGCTCAGTGAGCATGAGTAGCAGTAAAAGTGAAAACGTTTTTGCAGGTCAAGGATGTGAGTCTGGTATTTCAGAGTCAGTGGTAACTGGGGAGGATGGGAAAACCAACCAAAATTTCACTCGTAGTCTGTCTGTTATGAAGACCAAGCAACCCCCAGCACCTCCAAGGAGAACAAACTCTCTGCATAGTAATAGGATCAGGAGCAACTCCAGGGTTCTGGTAGATTGCAAAGATCTCAATGAATCGTTGTCTCTAAAGATGGCAGAAAATACTGTAGCAAAGGATACAATAACTTCAATGGATACCACTAAGAGCCCCATTCCTATATCAAACTCTACTGGGTCCATTTCCCTAAATGCTTCCAACAGTCCCTTGAGCCCCACACAGGCCTCTTCCAATGTAGCAGAAAAAGCACCAGAGCCCAAATCAGAATGCACCAACTCATCCCCACAGAAAACTCCCTCTGAAGGAGGGAAATTTGAACGTACTATGTCCCCTTCCAGTGGTTACTCAAGTCAGAGCGGCACACCAACACTTTCCCCAAAAGGGATCTCTCCAACCTCCCCTGAAAAGCCGAAAAAGACACCAGTCAAACCAGACAGATCAGTGTCTCGGGCCTCATCTTCAGCAGCTTCTCCTTCCTCCTCTCTTACCTCTCTTTCATCTGGTACATCTGAGTCTGTCAATCTACATACTTCCACATGTAGCCCCAGTCCACATCCACAGGGATCTTCCCCTGATGTTGCTGCTAAAGAGCTCACTCCAAATAACAGTTCTTCAACTTTAGGGGTTGAAGTCAGACAGCTGTTAAATATCCCACAACCTCCCAAAGTCAAAGCACCATGTCCTCCCCCTCCAGAGACATGGGTCCACAACAGACGCTCCTTTGAGCTGCTGTGTGGTCCTTCTCCTACTATCAGCAAAGGAACCCAGATACCAGCAGAGACACAGGTGAGCTCAGTGAAGCAAGCAGGCACTCAGACTGAAGTCAGCAATGAGATGCAAGAATTAGTTAAAAAACAATCAACTGTAGACATATCTGTCTTAGAAGCATCAGAGAGCACTGCCAAGCCAGAGACATTGTTAGAAACAGCGTCTGACATTGTTCACAAGGAGCTGGAGAATCGGGACTATCCAGACATCCAGCAAGACGCAACAGATGCATGTGTTGACACTCAGACACAAGAACAGAGTAGTAGCCCTGTAGTCAAGCTTCCTGAGAGTCAGGAGACAACTCCAAAGAAAGAACCCCCTCCTGTCATGACCAAACCTGTGACGGTACTGCACAGAGAAATATTAGCGTCAAAAGAGCCCTTGATGAATGGAGAACAGAGCCAAATGAGTAGCAGTGCAAAATCAGAAGTTGATGAACCTGTTAAGAACACTACTATCCAGTCACTGTATGGGGTTCCAGCTTTAGTTGACAAGCGTGACAATGAGACAGACGACAAAGAGGTCAAACCCATGCAGACACTTACTGTAGATGTCCCCAAAATTAGTAAGATCTCACCGCCACCTTCCCCTCCTCCAGCATACCACCCGACACCTCCTCTGTCAAGAAAAACTCCGACTTCATCAGTATCTATGGCACCAGAGGATTTGGAGAAGGTAGAGGAAGAGAGCCATGTCATAGAGTCTTGCTGGCCACCCCCTCCTCCTCCTATGGAAGGGGACTCTGTTTTCGATGGAGGAGAGGAGGTTGAATTTCCTCCACCTCCTCCGCCCTTTGTGGCAGAGACAGTGCCAAAAGGGATGACAAAGCTGGATCTCTCAAAGAGACACACAGAGGAGATGGTAGAGACCGTTGAAGATTCGAGTGAAGCCGGGGCCTCTGTACATGAACAAACTCCAGATGTGCTTCCTTCTGTTCCACAAGCATTCACTGACATCAAACCGGAGGTTGGCGTACAGGTTTCAAAAGACAGCACCTGTGATGAGATTTCTTGCAGACAAGAGCAGAATATTTTGCCTGTTTCAGACAAAGCCCAACCAGTTCCACCAGTGGATGTACCTATTTTGGAGCCTATCACAACAGTAGAGAACACAGCACCGGTCTCTGCTTTGATGTCTTCAAGCAGTTCTCAGAATCGACTCTCTCTGAAAATTGAAAATCAGTCTCCCTCCGAGCCTCCAGTCAGTACCCAACCTCCAGTTACTATCCCAGTAGCACCTCCTCTACCAGCAGAGAATTTAACTCATGGTGTTAATTTCAGGAGGCAGCCCAGCGTGGCAAATCGAGACACCAGGAGCAAAGAGCTTCTTTCTCGCCACAAAAGTGCACCCATTCCCAAAGAGGATGCGAACATACCTCTGGTCACTCCCTCCCTGCTTCAGATGGTTCGTCTCAGATCAGTCAACATGACTGATGATCTGGTGAAAGCTCCAACAGAGGACAAGTCAACAAACCAGGGAGTCCCAGCTCTTGAAAATAGCACAGATTTAACCCCAGGACCTCAAAACATTCCACAAAAGCCAATCCGCAAGTCTCTGTCACTGAAATCTCCCCCTAAGACGGCTCAGACGTCTCCTGTGGCACTTAGCACCCCTTCCATGCGCTTACAGGAAGCCATACGTATGAAAACCGCCGCTATGTCTTCAAGAGATGGTCTTCCATCCCGACTGGGAGTGAGGTCATCCACCTACAGCTACGTCAGTGAGCAAAGCGCTCTGTCTCAGAGGTCACCTGATGTAAATGACATGCACAAGTCCCCAGCCACTACAGCCAGCTTTATCTTCTCCAGGAGCACAAAAAAGGTTGTCATAGAGACTGCTGCTGCCTCCTGCCCTGAAGCTCAGGCAAGTCTAAAAGAAAGCTTGGCCGCTGAGCTTATGCAGATGTCTGACCAATCAAAGGCCGTCGCCCTCTCCAACGGTGGGGTGAAATCTGACAAAGTACCTCCACCTGTAGCAAAGAAACCAGCACATGGCAGCCTCAGTCCTTCGCGGAATGATCCTGCTTGTTCAGCAATGATGGACGTCAGCGTCGGAGGAAACGGAGCCATTGGAGTACGGAATGCGAGTGGAGTAACATACGCCGAGACAACAAGTAAGATCAGCATTTCTATTTGTGAGCATGATTTTTCTGCCGTTATATTTGAGAGACAAGGCCTCATTAGTGCGTTTTGGTGTACTAAAACAGTGTACCTGCTGAGTGTGTAAACTGATTAACGCTGACTGAGTCTGTGACGGCATATATCAAAGTAGCCCCTCTTTTGTCATGAAGAAGCAGAATGGAAATTCTAACATTACCATTATAGTACACAACGAAGCACTTTAATATCGCCTTAAAGGGCACATTTTTAGCTCTCCATAGCAAACAGCAAACATAAACTTCCTTTCACATTGAGGCAATACAAATGCTGCAGACTTTGCCTACAGCTTTTACCAGTCAAATGCGCAAACATGTCCTCCAATCAGCCCTAACCCGAAGCTCATGATCATGTCTCCGTGACTGAATTTGATTAGGACGGAATACCCATTACATGTGTTCCTGTAACAGTATTACGTTGATTAATGTCTAGCCTCCTCTTTTCTTCCTCCCTCAGCTACAAGAGTGACAGCAGACACAATTGAAACACTGTTTTGAGAGCACATTGTGAAGAAGTGAAGACGGCTCACGCCAGAGGAACAAGGACAAAGGACAACCACCCCCCCCCCCCAAGCAGAAGCAGAAATAACTGAGACATATAATTCAACAATCACGAGTGTTGCATCTTCTCTAAAAGCCTTAGCCTGAAATGGCCTTCCTATGTATTTATGCAAAAAAAAAAAAAAAAAGAAGAAAAAACCTGTTGCGTTAAGTTTCTTATGAAAGCTTTATTCTGGAGTATTTTTCTAAGCTATAGTTCTCTTATTAAGGCCCCTCAGGATGAAAAGGGTGTACAATGGCTGAACTGTAAATATTTGTCTAGTGTGATATTGCCTCCCAGAGGACGAAATGGGTAATGCTCACTGCAGCTCAGCAGAAAAGATTAGTCTCACAATGCATTTCCGTACAAAGGTTCACTGTCTGTTCAGTTTCCCCTGTTGTAATATAAAGAATCCTTTTATTGGGGATCAAGATCAAAATTTCCTTGCTTTCTGTAATATCCAGATCTGATTGGCACACGCAATTTAAGTCCCGCTTTCCACCGTGTGCATAGAAAGATAGCTCTGGTATAGTATTTAAGAAAAAGGGATGCTGCATATTCACAAAAATGAGAGGATTAGATTTTGTCTAATCAGGCAGAGGCACTTTTTATAACGCTTAAGTTGATACACATTAATACTTACAGAAGCATTGAATTACAGATGTAGCTTAGATGCTTTTACAGTCTTCTTCTGTGGTTTCATAAAGGTCAGCCAAACAGAATCAGAGTCCTTTTAGGATGCAGGTATAATTTTAGTTTGTGCGTGGTTTCACTTGGAGCTCTGTCAGTCACTTTCGCCGACCACATCGGTAATCAATCACATCTGAAAACACGTTTAGGGCTACAGGTGTGAAATGCGGCCCTGAGTGATTTGATACACTGGAGAAGATTTAGTGTGAGATCAGTGCTTTTTTAAAAATGCTCTGTGGCTAAAACTTTGAAACAAGACTTTTTTTTTTTAATATATCAAGCTAATGACTTGTTGCACAATATGCTTTTCCCCTAACAAAATCATTGGTGAGTGAATTTGACTGACTCTTCATAATAGGTCAAAAATCTTCATCGTAATGATTATAAAGAATTCTGTACAGTTATTACTTCTATAAATAAAATTTAAGTGTATTAAAAATAAACATGTGTTTTGCTTTTTTTATTATAATCATTATAATATTATAATGATAAATCCTGAAAAGACAGAATTCATTTCTGCAGACCACAGAATCCAGACAGTTTTTTTATTTCATTTGAGTGATGATGCATTATTTGATTGTATGACAGTTATTTCAAGATATTGTTCTCTTACAGTACATGACAAAATGACTTATTTACATCTGATGCCTGTTGAACATAAAACCAGTCTTACTTATTAGGGTAACAGATTGGCCACTCCCCACAATGAACTATCAAGGCAATCAACACAGTGTGATTTTAAACTGGAAGATTAATGACACACTAATCAATCCCTTTTATCAGCTGAGAATCTTCCAGAAATGGGAAACGAGTACTGCAGCATCACGATGGTTAACCTCCATTCTCTGTCATATTGTATCCTCACAGTTAGGTGACTTAGCAGCACCTTACATCTCCTGTTAAGAGGAAGAAATTAATCACTGGTTGATTATTTACAGATTTTTTGTTACACATCCCTCATATCTTTCTGATAATTTTGAAGCAAGGTATGAGAACTGGTTTAAGCCGTCGAAAGTGTCTGAGGGTTTTGGCATCGTTGTCCCCATCGTTCTTCAAGGAGACGTCCATGTGAAGTGTGACCCCAGTTGCCATGACGATTTGTTGACGAGAGGGTTTTTCATGTCATGTGGCCAGCAGGTGCAGCCTCGGTGGTGAATGTAATGGATGGATATCTAACTGATGTTGCCTCCTTTGAGTGTCTTACATGTGATCTGTCCTAGTTTGGTCATCAGCTGCCGGTCTTTCCACTGAGCAACACACTCGTCTGAGATGTTCAGGTCAACCTAAAGAGACATCAGAATGTATAAATGTTATTAAGTATATGTGATCCATCCACCTACAGAAGAAACACTTTATGGTATTGTAGTAGTCTATTGAAAGAGTCACAGTAGAATCTTAATGATGCATACCTGTAGTTTCTCCCACACTTTCTTCTTTGGATTGAGTCTGTCGTCTGGTTTGCCCGTCTCATATCCCTCCACAAAGACCTGTTCTCCTGGCGATGAGCCCTCTGGAGGGTCCAGTGGTTCAACCCTCCTTGGCTCCCCTTCACTAACAAAAAAAATTAGATATGACAATTTGTCAAAAAAAAAAAAAAAAACAGGTGAACTGAGTTATGTTAGCTTTTATGTAGACATAACCAACACTCACATAGAGGAACACAGCAGCATGGCCTGGGACTCAATCCCCCGCATCTTCTGGGGTTTCAGATTGCAAAGAACCAACACCATCCTGTCCTGCAAGTCCTCCTGTGATATATAGGCTACCAGCCCGCTCACTACTGTCCTCGGCTCAGGCTCTCCAACGTCAATCTTCTCCAGGTACAGTGAGTCGGCATCAGGGTGCTTAAAAAAAAATAAAAAATACACGTGAACAGAAAGCCAGAGGACATTAGTACAGGCGGAATATCTCGATGAAGTCAAACAAAACCGTCTGTTATTAACTTTGGTTTCCAAACCACAAGGAGTTTATCTGATCTTTATCTAATTTTTATGACTGAAACAGCTGCCGATAGGTCACTGAATGTTTTGCCTCTTTGGAAATCTATCCAGGTGTCTTATGCATCAAACATCGGCAAAAACTAAAATCTTAGTACAACAATGCCATAACAACCCTAGTCATCTAATTTCTAGTAAAAACATATCTCTTTACACTTACTATAAGACACATTCACCTGATGAATCCAGATAAATAGCTTATTTCAAGATACAGATATGTATAGTTCAAACCTTTTCTGGTCTTGTTAGGTGAATGGGGCTTTTAATACGTGTAATGACATATTTCTGACAAGAAATAAGAAAAACAAACTTGCTAAGGTTATAGATTTGTGTGAATTGTGGTGCTTTAAAATACAAAAGGGATAATAATACATTTGATTTTTAATAGTGTGCGTCTCTGACGGACCGTTGCGTGCACAGAGTATGTGGAGATTGGGAGTAAATGTCTTTGTCTCGGTTAGTGTGGTCTTGACTACAACACTAAATCGAGTGAACGGGCATCAAGTGAAAATCTAGATATCTTACCTTGCCTACACTGATGATCTTGCCCACCCTGATGTCCAGTCTGGAGGGGGCCAGCTCATCATCCTCTCCTCCTCCACCGCCTCCTCCTCCTCCTGCCTTGGCACCCTTTCCTGCTCCTTCTAATTATACCAGCACACACACTGATGAAGACAATTCTCCACACAGATCAAGTTGACATACTTGTATATTAAATTACTTTATGGTTGGATGAATAGACTTAACACTATGTGAGGGGGGAAAAAGACACTCAGGATGATGGGTAAAATACTGACTCGTCTTTGAGGCGCTGGGATATGCAGAGTTGGTGAGTTTGCGGAGCTCAGGTGACTCAAACTTCTTTCTTATCGGCTCCAGAAGTTGGTTTAGTGCTAGTTCCACTGACGCCTTCAGGTCTCCAGGGTGGACGACCTGACCAAGTCAGAAATGACTCGTGGTTAGACCAGGCATGACAGGATTTACTTGAAGATGGGCTTTCATTCTTCTAATAACCCAAATATACTTCACCTCCTCAGCGAAGTCCTTCTCCACCTCTTCAAACGCAGTGTAGATTTTGTCTCCACCCCACTTGGCATCTCTTTTGATGCGGAACTCTGAAACACAAGATTTTCAATGATAAACTTCTTTTCGATTCTTTGAATGACTGGAGGAAATGTCTGCAGTCGAGAAATAGACGGATGTTGCAGAGGAATGTCTACCTCCACGCAGAGGGAAGAGGACATATCTGACAAAGGAGAGGACTCCGTTGTTCTGGATGTTGCCTGGCTCACAGAAAGCCTTCTTCAGCTTCTTCTTCACATCTTCTTTGGAGTCCAGCAGATCAATCTTAGACTCCTGCAGCCAGATTAATTTATTACTGAACATGATGAACATTGCAGTTTAAGATTCTGATTCACTTTCTTGATTATAATGAGCTTTACTTCTTCTGAGGAGCTCATCTTTGTCCCTGTTAGTCCGGGTACCATCGGGTTCATCAGATGGGCGCGCTTAGCATAGCCAAGAGACGGCAAGTACTGCGGATGAATGAAAGGCTACAGTTAAAGTTTATATTTTACAGACATGAAAACTGTATCATGGAATTACTATACAGAAACATTTAGTTTGTTATTAACGATGCGCTGTTTCATTTTTGTCAAGACCTGTAAGTGGTCAGTAGTGACAGGAGTAAGAAGGTGATGACTTAAAATACATAAACAAAGATGGAACGAGAAGGTACCTTCTCTGCAAGAGTGAAAATCTTCCTCTGATCAACACCTCCAAACTGGGCATCAACCTTGAGGTACTCCTCATCCAGAGCCTGAGAACAAAGATAAATCACTTTTATGATGAATCGAACAGAAATGGGAGTAGCAAATACAGTTTGTATGCAAAACACCAACATGTTCTTAAGACACACAGATCTGAGGGTACACTCAGGCCCCTGCGTCCACCTAGTGTCTATTTCTGAGCATCAGCGTCTTCATTCAATTCTTTCCAATGAGCAGAGCGCTTGCAGCAGTAGGCGGTTGCCCGGAGAAAAAGCGCAGCACCCAGCGTCTTTCTTCTGAGCACTTTTTAAGTGCAGCCGCTCCGAGCGCTCAAGACGAACAATTTGAAACTTTTCAGAAGGCCGCTATCGACTGCGCCTGCGCTCTTTTCCAAATGTACGATATTCCGTGTAGTTTTGCCGCATACAGATTATGTCTTGAAACCACATCCGTGTCTGATGAGGCAACAAGCAATCTAAGATAAAAAAAAAAAAACATACACCAAAAAGTAACGGAGGAGTGTTGGTAAAACAGCAGCGGTTGTCAACAGACTGTTGTCATCGGGACAGAACTGACGCAGCGCAAAAACGCTT